CCTCCCTCCGCCCCCTCTCCCCTCCCCTCCATCCTCGCCTCTCTCCCTCTCTCCTCGCCCGCTGGGTGCTGAAGTTGGGCGGATGGCAGCAAACCGGCTCCGCTAGAGGACCGAGCAGCCCAGCCTCGCGCCCCCGGACCCATCGGTGCGCTGCCCACACCTCCAGGCGGCTGGGTAAGATGCTGGCTCCGAACCCGAGCGGGGCTAAGTAAATGACATCAAAATGTCTGCTTTGCACCGAGGGATGAATTTTTTAAAGGTGGTGGTTGGGGGGGGGAGGTGAAGGAAAGAGGGGGCGGAGAGTGCAACTGCCGGTGCCCTGGCGGGGGAGGCTGCGGGCGCGGGGGGCTCGGCGCTGCTGCCGCGCCGCGGGTGGGAGCGGGGGCCGCGCCGCGGGTTTGGGAAGTTGCGTCCGGCGTTGCTGCCTCGGCGCGGTCCGCTCGCCGCCCTCCGGCTGCGGCCGACGGGCCGGGCGAGTGTCCTGCCCGCCCGGGGAGCCCTCGGTCGGGTCCCCCGCGGAGAGCTGGGCGCCTTCGGGGAACCGGCAGAGGGCCCAGGGCGGCGGAGACCCCGCGGGGGCGCCAGGTCCTGCGGGATTTTTGTGGTGGTTTGTTGGAAAACCGAATGTGAAATGGACAGTGTCCAATCGACCGATCACCTCGGCGTGGTATTTTTTCTTTCTTTACCTTTGGGGAAAACGCACTATTCAGGTGGGGAAGGTGTAAGCCAAAGGGATTGCAGAAATGCATACCTTGAGCATCGGTAAAATGTCTGAGGTGTGTGTGTGTGTGTAGGGGGTGGGGGTCTCTTTTGTTCTTTGCCCTCTCCTTAGTCGAAGGAAAGGGAGTTCTTGTGTGCTTGGCTTGGGGTAGATTTCACAGCCACCGAGGGGGCGAGGAGGAGCAACGCCCACCAATTCCCTAGCCGCTGCCCAGGTGGGTGTATCCGAGACTCCCCTGCTGTGGGTGATGATTCTTTTTATTATCGATAGAATCACAGTTTAATAGCCTCCCTCCTCCTCTCCTCTTCATGTGCTGCGGCAGAGCCTGGGTGCAGACGCTCGGCCGTTTCCTCTTCTCCCTACCTTCCTGTCTCGGTGAAAAATGTCGGAGGACTTGAGGATGGCGGAGGGACAGAGCTGGCCTCGGAAGCCGCGGATGGGGAGATGCTCCTCGCGAGCTGGAGGCTGCTGGCGGTGCGTCCCGGGCAGCCCGCGCCAGCCTCGGGAGTCGCTGGGCTCCCGGGGACAGAGCAGGGGTCCCCTGGCCAAAAGGATGCGCGCCGTGCGGGACCCGCCCTGCGCCCTCCGCCTCCATCCAGAGCCCAGGACACCGGCTCACCTGGGACAATCTCAGTCGCTCTGGCAAGACTGACCCTGGCTCCTGGCATAGTTTTCCTAACCTCTCTGACCCTTTGATAAATGCTTCCTTCTTTAAGCGAGTCACTGGAAGGTTTGTCTAGAGAACTTTGCAATCTTCCCATAGTTTCTTTTTCTTTTTTCAGTTGTTTTACAGCGAGATTACTTCCATCATGAGATGGCTATCACAAATAATAGAGAGAAACCTTAGAGTTTGGTTCCCGTTTATAATAAGCATTTATAAGACTGGATATCTATCATCTGCATTTCCGGATTTCATACATACTGTTTTTCCGGGTGATGAACCCTTCTGAAAATCATTTAATTGGAGAAAGGAGAAACAGTTTTTACCCTTGTAATGGAAAATAATGTTTTTCTCCTGGTTTCATAGCTGCTAGACACTATGTGTATTAAATAATTTTGAAAACTGTGACACACTTTAAGTCAATTGTATTTGTTTCTAAAGTCTTTTGTAGTAATAGCAGGTATCAGTGAAATATACATTATAGCACTAATATCTAATGAAAAGGTGATTCGGACTCATTAATTCAAATGAATGAGCATTTTGATCACCTCCAGTTAAGTCACTATTATTAAGCTGCTTCTTCTGTTAGCATGAACTAAAACAGTAATTAACACACTCATGGGAGAGTAGATTTATTCACTATTTTAAAAATCTTAAAAACTATATTTAGAGAAACCATGGGAAAGTAGTTTATTAACAGTTTTTGGAGATGAGAAAACAAGTGTTTATTATTACAAACGGATTGGATGGTATCACATTAAATAAGATGAATCTCCATGACAGTGACATCTGATCTCAGAGCCCTGGGCACTCATCCTTTGTCCTGAATTTATAGTCTGAGAGGTTAAGAAAACCACCTAATTTACAGAGCAAATAACATAAGGTGTCTGTTGTGCCGATTTCTACCCTTTTTTCTCTGGTTCCTCAATTACTCCTTGGTGTTTAATTCCCATAGAAGGGAATTAACAAGGAGTTACTTTGCTGTCCAATTCTAAGGAATCCAGCTTTTCCTTCTCAAATAGATATCTCTTTGCTTTTAGGGATCTTCCTACAGGGTCCTAATTTATTTGAACTCATCATGTTGAAAGTCTAAGTCATTATCATTCCTATGGACTTCTTACACTTTTGCATAATAATAATAATAATAATAATAAAACATTTCTTAATATTTCCTACTACGAGGGCCAGGGGCTTTGTAGAAAAGGAGAAATATACACATTCTTACCCATTTGACCTTATAATAACAGCCAAATCTAAATCTAAATTGATAAAAATTCTGGTTGACTCATAGACTAAAAAGTAAGAAAGCATTTACCTGTGTTCTAGAGATAATGGCCTTCATATTAAAAGTCCGTTTGCTGAAAGACATGGGCTTTTCTGAAAAATGAAAGATGGGCATGAACGATGAGATGTGGAACCAAGAGGGATAGGAATCCATCCAATTGCATTTCTGCTGAGATTCCTTTTTCTGAATGTCCAACTCTGCTTACTTAACAATGAAGATACAGCACTGCGTAGAGGGCAAATGCAAGGACCACTGTACACTCAGTGGATGACAGTAACGCTGTGTGATGTTAAAAAGCATTTTATTTCATCTGATTACTACAGTTAGCGTATAAGCATAAATGCATTGTAGAGGCTTAAAATTGCATGACATTTCCAGGAAGGTGTTCTGGATCCTCAAAAATATTGTAAGTTTTTATGGAAAGCTTAAAAAAATAAAACAATCCTTAAATGTAGGTAGCCAGGACTCAATGTAGATTGATGGATACTCTCACCTTCCCTATCTCGTCCCGTCTTCCCTTATCCCCTAAAGACTTTCCGAATATCCAAAGAAAGTCATTTAGACTGTTATTCCTGCTATTGTGCAAACGCCTAGCACAATATCTGGCAAAAGGCGGATGTTAAATAAGTATTTCTTGAATGAAAAAATATTGCAGAGTTGACGGGACTCACAAACGTCTTCCGAGATTTGGGATTACATTTTTAAAAGAGCGCTCATGCTCATTACAATACACTCGTCTAAGATCTAAAGATCACATTCATGGTCCTGCGTCTTTGAAGGAAGCAATTTTTAGAACTGTCACTTTGTGAATATGCATGTTTTTACTATAACATTTATATTATGATTTGTTTCCAGATTATAAAAGCAATATATGCTTATTTTTAGGTCCCCTAGAATGCAGGAAAAATGGATAAAACAGAACATTTAGATTACCTGTGGGCCCTCATGGACATGATGAACATGAGCTTTGGGGGCAGCCGATGTTAACTTGTATCTTGGCTCCTTCATTTAATAGCTTTGTCACCATGGTCAAGTTAGTTACCTGCTCTGAGCCTCAGTTTCCTCTGGTATACAACAGGGATAAAGACCCACCTTCTAAGATATTTGCAAGCATAAATATAATTCACTGTATATAAAGTGCTGAACACGTGCCTAGCATATACTGAGTACTCATAATTATCCCAATGCCTAAAGAACCGCTATTGAAAATACTGGTCAGTTTCCCACCAGTTCATTTCCTATGCATAAATGGACCATTTTTTAAAGAATTTTTAAATGGACCAATTTAAAGTAGTAGAACTTCATACTTGCTTTTTTAAAAATTAACATTACTTTGTTGATGTTTCCCAAGAAATTAAAATTGGTATTTTTTAATACAATTTAGTGACTGCAAAAGAATTCATCTTATGGATGTCTTCATTTATTTAGCCATTTTTTTATTTTGGGATTTTTATGTTATTTCCAATATTTTACTGTTTTAACCGATGTACATCCTTATGCCTAGGTTTTGTCTGCATATCTGAATGGCATTTTTTCCTTTAGGCTTGAGGCTTAGAACATTTACTTCTCACCAACATAATATCATCTTTTGAAAAATCTTTGCTAACTTGGTAGCTGAAAATGATGTTTTTGAAACTTTTATTTCTTTGGCTACTAATAATGCTGATTACTTTTTTAATATGATTATAAGCAAATTTATTTTTTTGTCTTTGAGGATGGCTTGTTCAAGTCTTTTGCCCATTTTTCCATTGATATTCTAGTACATTTTTCTTATTTATTTGAATGCTAATGTTAATTTTTAAAAAACAGGCAAAAGCAAACAAAGAAAGGAAATACCTAGTGACAAAGAGGACGTGGCAAAGACCACGGAGATCATTGTGGCTGAACTGGACTCCAGCTCAGCTGGAGCGGAGCAAACATCGCCAAAGGCTGGAGATGGATAAGCCACAGGATTAGGGCTGCCACGGTGTCTGTAACATACTGCCACCTGCCACCAGGTCTGGACTTTCCAAAGTTCACGGTTCCTTTTAGAAGCCCAGAATCACTTAATAGTTGGGATCTGTTCTTTTTCTCTTTGGCCACTGTGCACACACACTCACATCTTACATGTACATGAGGAGTTCCCAGATATTCACAGATTGTTTCTGCCAGTTGCCGATGTTGTAGGAGAAAACTTTCGAGTTTTCCTGAGATAAATGAGATTGAAAGGAAAGATGGGAGTAGATGGAGGTCCTACAAGGCATTCATTGAAATTTCTCATCAGAATGAAGTCAAATAAATTTCATTATAAATCCATGTCAGATTAGAATCATATCTTATCCCAAATTTTAAGCTGTAGGTGAAATTTAAATATTTAAAAGGTGAGAATCTAATCTGGTACCTTAATGAGTTCTGTATCTGTAGTGTTTCACATGATTCAGTGCTCTTGTAAGCACCTGATTTTGACTTTTTAAATTCTGTGTGACAAATTCTATTTGACAAATGTGGTTTCCAAAGCTCAAATATTT